GAATTTAAGGCACAAATATAAGATAAAGCATTTTATACTGGAAAAATAAACTAAAATGAGAGGTTATAGTTATAACCATCATAAACATATGCACTTAACAGTGCACTTCAACATCCATCAAGCTGTAAGTGATACAAGAACTAGGCAAGTACATTGAAGATCTTAAAAATGCAATTGATAGTTTTAATCTGTTAAATATATAGAGACATCTCCAACAAAGTGCCTATATTCTCTTTGAGCACATATATAAAATTGACAGAAATTTTATAGAAATAAAATATGTATTAATACATAAATGAAGTTCTATAAGTTCAAAAATATTAATAACATATGAACTATGTTATTCAGCCCTGTTGTAATAAAATTAAAAATACATTTTTATAAATGGCTAAACAATTCCTTATGTTTGGAAAATATATAATATATTTTCTAATAACCCTTTGGTTAATAAGAAATAATAAAAGAAATTAAGAAATACTTGATACTTAACAATAAAGAAAACACTGCATGCCAATGTAATAATTAGAGGAAAATTGATAACTTTAAATGCATTTTTCAGGAAAGATGAAAGATTAGGGACATAAATTCAAGAATTTAGTTGAAAAGTCCGTGTAATAAGGAAAGAGAGAATGATAAAGACTAGTGAAGAAAACAAAAAACGATACATTTAAGTTCTTTGAAAATATTACAATAGAGAGACTTTTGGAAAGAAAGATTGAAATTTTAAAACATTGAATGAGAAAGGGCCACTAGCCATATTCGAAATAGCGATTCAAGCAAATGAAAGTATTGTGAGCAACAGTTCACTGATAAATTTGAAAATATATATGTAAATTCTTAGATGAATAAATATAAAATGCCAAAATTTCTGCAAGAAGAAATTCAGTACTTGAATAGACTAATACAGTTGAAATATTATTTGTGCTAAAAGACCCACTTTCCCCAAAATTACAGGGCTAGAAGGTTTTAATGGTGACTTCCACCTAATTTTCAAAGGTCAGTTAATTCCTAACATAGGCAAATATTTTCTGGAAAATAGAAAAAGAGCAAAAACTCTCATTTTATGAGCATGTGCATTTATGGTTCTGAAGTTGATTAATGACAATATGCATAAATAAACTAATAGATATTTTTCACTAATGAATGTAGATGTAAAAGTCCTATATAACTAAATTCAAGATTATATTAACAAAATATATCATCATGATCAATGAATGCAAACATGTGCAGCTGAAATAAATAATATTTATCTCTTCTGGGGAATGTGTTCTAGGTTTTGAATTGAATGATTGATATGTTCTAACTCAGAATCCAGAAAGAGATGATAGCAACCTTGACAAATATGAGAATAACAGATGTTTATTAAAACTATAATTATTTTATTTTTTAAATGTGCATCTGATGGAATCTAGGAGAAGACAGATTTCATATCACTGAGTATCACCTCTTCCAAATTTTGGTAGGCTCAAATAGAATGCTCTGTACTTTTTCTCCCTATTTGAAGATTCTAGGTTAACCAAAGATTAAATTAATATATATTTTTAAACATTTTTGTACTTGTAAATAATTCGATAACTATTTTCCCTGCTAGGAAGACTATAGTTGGTGTAATTGAAGGTTGGATAAGAAAGGAAGATTAAGATAATTGTAATTGCTCGCTCTCAAGTGGAGAGAAAACATTAGATTTAATTCTGCAAATATTGTGCTATTTTAGATTTAAGAGCAGATAATTTTATGTGCTACCCTTGATTACATATCTAATTACTATTCCTTTTCCCATAAAAATAACAGATTGTATATTTTATGCAAAAGATGTTGCAAATACCCACATCATTTGGTAAGTCCACAGTAAAATGCTGTGAAACTTAAAGGTGATATTGCTTTTAAATAGCAAAAATATAAAAGAAGATAAACTTCTGAAACATTAAATTGACACAGCAGTAAAGCTGTCTTGGTCAAATTCTGTTTGAAAAGACTTTTTATGAACATGTGAACATCTTTTATTCCTAAGCAAATAATGGAGTGGCAGATCTTTCAACCCTGTGTTCCTCATGAAAAACCTAACAGACAGCAAGGAAGAATGAGCTCTCAGGTGTAACCAAAGTAATTAAAGATATTAATGCTCATTGGATGCATTTCACTACTCTTGTTAATTTTTATGGCTTAACTTGCCCTAAGTGAGACATAATCAGTCTAAGGCAGGAATTAGCTTCAAGCTTTGATTCTCATTAAGAATAAAGAATTGCTATGTTCTTCCATTCTGTATTCAAAGTAAATAAATGGTATTTTCTGCCTCTGAGAATTATTTCATAACTATCTGCTAGAAATGCTTATTTTTCCAGGGATGTTAAAACCTGCTGAGATTTGAAACCAATGTTTTCAAATGCTAATACTTTTTGAATATTCTGAATTTGAATTTAGGTCCTGAATATTTGAGTATTGCATTGTCAAGTTTTTCTGCCCTTGTTTAAAATTTAAATAATTATATTCTTGACATTGCAATATATTTTCATTGCACTCAATTAAAGTTAGTTGTTAATTATGGATAACATATAATGAATAGTATCAAAATGTGAGGATTTGGAGAAAAACATGTTATCAGTGAAAGAACAGGTTATTAATATAAGAAAGATGGCTTTAAGTAGCTCATGACTTAAATTAAAGACAAATCTGTAACATATCAGAATTTTCCTACGCTCATAAAGTGCTTGGGTGGATGTAGTGTAAGCCTGGACAGTTGGCTTTTCTTTATCATAACTCAAGTGCCTGACTTAAACTTTGATTGTGTGAGGAGGCACCCACTTCAAAAATGGTTTTAAATAAACACGTTGCCAGCCACAGGACTAGAGAAAGAGCCAGGCCAAACCTCTACCCCACCCCAGGCTCCTTTGTTTTAGAGATCTTGGTTTATTTCCATAAGTAACCATTTGGGCCACTTGTTTTTTCTCTTCTCATGCTTTAAATTAGCGCTCCTGTGCCTTAAACTCACCCTTAATGAGTGAGCCCTAGAAACTCTAAGCCCCACCCTTGACCCCAATAGCAGCAGAATCCCAGGCCTGCACTCTCTCTCTCTTTCTGTCTGTGACCTCACTGTGTGGCCCTAAGTGTGCCATGTAATTTCCAGGACTTGTAAGTAATAAAACCTTTTTACTTTCAAAGTTTCATGATGGTCCTTGCTGAGGATGTCTTGCAATCATTATAAGAACCACAAGGGCCATCCAGCCACAACATTGGTTATATGACTCATGTTTTCAGGTTGCTGTCAGTATCTTCATAGTTCAAACTTACCTTGAAAATTTTCATGGCCACAACAATAGACACGGTAGTTCTCAGGCTTCTGCTTCTCTATGTAGTTTGACCATCAAAAATTGTCTGGTTTAGGTTTCCATTACCATTGTGAGAATGATAATACAGGGACACTTAGCCAGAAAAAGAGGGAGTTAACATGTGTTGTAAAGCCTTACACAAAACACAGTTAAGTAAAAGTGTATAAAAACATGCACGAGACTAATACACATCCACTTCAGGAGAGTGGCTACCTCAGGGGAGAGGGAAGGAAGAAAGATTAGGAGTAACATTTTCTTTACAAGGTCTGAGGACAATTGGACAAAATACTTACATATGTTTATTTTTAGGGTTGGGCTCAGAGGTGTTTTATATGCTACTTCTTGTTCTTTAGTTTATGTTTGAAAAGTTTCAGAATTAATTTTTTTTAATCTGTATATATGGTGAAAATTAACTTTACTCCTAAACTTGACTTCCACTGACTCAATCTATATCAAGATAATCCACGTTACTAGTCTCTTCTGTAGCATATAAAACACCTCTGGGCCCAACCCTAAAAATAAACATATGTAAATATTTTGTCCAATTGTCCTCAGACCTTGTAAAGAAAATGTTACTCCTAATCTTTCTTCCTTCCCTCTCCCCTGAGGTAACCACTCTCCTGAAGTGGATGAGTATTAGTCTCGTGCATGTTTTTATACACTTTTACTTACTGTGTTTTGTGTAAGGCTTTACAACACATCTTAGAGATGCTCTTCCAGGCATCCTCTAAGACTATATGACCACTAGATACATGAGGCTACTGAGCATTATAAAATGGCTAGTCCAAACTGAGGTGTGCTAGAAGTGTAAAACATACAGTGGATTTTAAAGATATAGTGCAAAAAATAATGTCAATTATGTCATTAATAATCCATTACATGTCAAAATGATATTTTGAATATATTGAATTAAATAAAATATATTAGTAAAACTAATTTCATCCGTGTCCTTTTACTTTATTTAAAATGTGACTACCAGAAAATTGAAAATTAGGGAAATTAATGTTTCATCCATCATACAGTTAGTTTTTGTAGTGAACCCTCAGTGACTGTAAAGTCTCAAATCTAAACTATTGTACTATACTGACTTTTTTTTCAAAATTCTCAGGCAAATAAAGATGCTACGTTTATTCAAATACAGTTTGAATAACTAGGCTAAAGTTAAAGATCTCAACAATATCATATTCAGAAGAAAACATCATAGTTTCTTTGGCACAGTTTGATAACATTGCATGCTTTTTGAGGTCAACAGTATCACTAAGCAATTGCTCTCAAATGTGGCCACAGGTCAAAATTACCTGGAGAATATTTTAGGAATGGAGATACCTAGACCCACCTGAGAATCTAGTTTTTCTTTTTTAAAAAAACACCTTTTTTTTAAATTGAGGTTTAGACAGGTAAGAGAATCACAGTCATAACGTACATGGTTTCTCAATTTTAAAAACATGAAACTTTTATTACATGAGAAAAGGATATTTTTATGTAATCAGTGGATATATGTATAAATTGGGCAATGAAGTTTTCATTAATGGAAATTTTAATCCTTTGTTCTTTTACAATGTTTGTTTTTAAAGAGAATTATTTTATTATACTTCAAAAATCATGAAAATAAATTTACAAAAGCCATAGAAATGAATTTGAAATGTGTCTACATAATATTCTATTCATTTTCAGATAAACTTTTTAAAGACTGAAGTGGAAAGAAAGAGCAAAATGATCCGAGATCTCCAGAATGAGGTAAGACATATTTTAGGCAAATTTTATATAAATCAAAGAATACACCCAAATCCACATATATATTTGCAGCAAGTTTTAGAGTACCGATCACAGGCAAATTTGGCCTGCTGTTATGTGTTAATGGAGAAGAACTGTAAGGTTAAGAACTTTGAAGAGCAGATAATCTCTACTTTTGTATATATTTGATAATGTTATTAGTTTATACTTCTCCAGTTCATTTTCCCTTGTAATTGTATTTTGCTTGGGCTAATATTAAAAATTAATTTTCATTTCATAAATTTATTTGTCTGCCAAATGACATCACAGGCACTGAAGAAGAAGCTAAGTAGAAATTGACTTCATGCTAGGAAGAGCCAATCGAGAAGGAAAATTTATTTGGGGTAATCTTAGAATAATGTAGATTTGAACATAAGCTGATACCACTTTCATTATAGCCTTTAAAATGCGAAGACCCTACAAAATGCTCTCTGCTTCTTTTCTCTTTTGATTCTTTGTCTATCTTGTTATAAAATTACTTTATTTCCCAAAATCTCTCCATCATGTTTCTATTTCCACCTCTTTATTAACTTTTTTCTTGAATGCAATTAGTTAATTAGGACTATTAAACCATGACTAATTAGTGATACATCTTCCTTGATCAATCCCACTAATTATGGCTTATTTTGAGTCCCAAATCAATCTCTTTTGCCTTTACTAGTCTCTTTCCTTCCTTCCTTTCTTCCTTGCTTCCTGCCTTCCTTCTCTCCTTTTGTTTTTTGAAATATTTGAACAATAGATGAGCTATGTTATTCCTAAATGGGTTTCCACCTTGGTATCAAGGTTAAAAAATAGGCTTTATAAATGCCTTGGTGTGAAGATTCAGCATCAGTACTCTGATTATGGCATTAGAATGGTTTATCAGTCCTGGGAAGAATGTGTAGGAGAAAGGAAAGCAAGACAAATTTTAAATGGCTTTCTGATGATTCTATTGTATTTTCATTTCTTTTGAATGATTTTTTCTTCTGAGTCTTCTTAAGAGAGTGTGATGGTGTGGACTTGATAATGTTTTCCCTGAGACCTAAATCTTGGATTTCCTGTTTATGGTGTAAAATGTCAGCAGACCAGAATACTGGGTATACTGGATAATTTCTTGTTCACTGGCTCAGCAAGAGCTCAGTGAGAGGGCCAGATTATTCAAGTCAGAACTTCTCGTGGATCATTTAAGACAAAGGGAACATCTAAAACAGCGTTAAAGTCAATATTAAAATAGGGAAGAAGGTACATTAGGACACGAACAGACACACACGCAAATATGAACCCAGTTGTATGGTAATGAGAGGATTATGGGTTGATTTATATCCCTATGTAAGTATTAACTTTTAATCTTAGATAATTTTTTAAAAGTCTGGAATTCAACTAAAGAGGAAGCTCTTTCAAAATCAAACTATAAATTATTCATAACAAGTACTTATGAGGACTAACAAAATATTTTATTTGTTTCCAGGGGTTACTTTTATAGTGTAATTTAATTTTCTTAGTATGTAGGCTAGAATAATTCTAAAAGAAATACAACTCTACCGAAATATTTTCTCCTAAATGTAAGTTTTGTAATTAAATTTGCTACTATCCACTTATATCATATTGAAAACCTGCAAGATGAAAATTGATAACCAGAAAAAGCTTTTGACTTCTCTAGCAAAATCTAATGCTGAACATATATTATCAATTGAATGTTTTTTAATTTGACTCCTTCGTATTAATTCCTTGAATTTTTAGGCTTGTTATTTTGACAAAAGATCAGTACATAGACACTGAACAAAATAATTGACCCATACTCTGTACTGTAAAATTATATGGCATGCCTGGAAGATTTTTGTTTAGGAGTAAGGAAAAAAACAGGTAAATTCATTGAACGAAATACGAAGAGATGAGGGAGACAATAGAGGTATAAAGAGATTTCTGGAGGAAGTCCCCTGAGTACTTCTGGGTGAGGTTATTGGCGAAGTCCCAGTAGAAGAAGGGAATTTTTTTTTTTTTTGTAAGGAAGATCAGCCCTGAGCCAACATCCATGCCAATCCTCCTCTTTTTGCTGAGGAAGACTGGCCCTGAGCTAACATCTGTGCCCATCTTCCTCCACTTTATGTGGGACGCTGCCACAGCATGGCTTGACAAGCGGTGCGTTGGTGCGCGGCCCGGAACCGAACCCAGGCCGCCAGCAACAGAGCGCGTGCACTTAACCACTATGCCATGGGGCTGGCCCCGGAAGAAGGGAATTTTAAAAAGTTATTAAAGAATGATCAGCATTCTTTTCATATGTGAAGGCAAGTATCTTCAAAGGCACTTTTACATTAACACTTAATGATTTAGTTTTTAAGATTTAAGACGTCTCTTGGAGGGGGAAAAATAATCAGACTTTTTTTTAAGCAAATGCTGTGTAGGCAGAAAGTGTTTTGATTTTTCCATCCCGGAAGACACACCTGGAACAGGCTACCTGGGAGCTGTGACTCCAAGCTTGTGTTCATAACTGGGAAGGAACACTAGAGAACATAGAGAGCAAAGTGAGGGTGTGAGAGGAAAAGAAATAGTGAGGTTTTTTACAGAGGAAATGGAGAATGGAACGGAAAGGGGTGTGAGCTATGAGTCAATCAGAGCATTTCTGGCTCCTGCATTTCACCTGTCTCTATGTGTATCTCTGTCTTCTTGTGGATGTCCCTGTGACCTGTGCTTTTACTCACAGACGCTCCACTGAGATTTAGTTGGGCTCCAAGTTTCAGGTCTTGGCTTTCTGCTTTTCTGCTTATATTATATTTCATGGAACATTCAAGTTAAATCTGTTCCACTACAGATATTTTTTTGTACTAAATCACCATATTAGTAATTAATAAATGATGGAATGATGTCAGTAAAATTTTAGAAATTCTGTTTGTTTATATGTAATTCTTCTCATCACGTTAAGTTTTGAAGCAATAGGGGGAAACCTTGTCGAATTTTAGAAAAATCTTTATCAATACAAGCACATAAGAAAATATACAGATGGGCCTCCCTTTAGTGCCTGTAGTGTTGGTTTAGTGCCTTTAAAGCATTCATAAAAATGCTTGTCACTGCACCAAGATATCTGCCTAAGCTGTAAGTATAGAAGACCCTGTTAAGACTTTCTCCTGCATTAAAGTAAGAGATTAGTGAAAAATATGCATCAAATTTTAATTTTGATGATAATTTACTTTATTGAAGTTGGTTCCCTTTAGGATCTACATCCAAAGGAGGAAATAGTAAATCCTAACTGTAAAGCTGCAAAGGATTGACTATGATTTTTGGAATAAGTGCCAAAAAATATTATTTTTGTTAGTATTGTTGTATTTTTATTAGTATTGTTATTATTTTGTTAATATTATGATTACAAAGTTACATAGTAAGTGGTCTTTCCAAATCATATTTTTCCCGTACATCTTGTATTTTTCGTGTACAAATTTGCAGAATATGAGATTTCTCACAATGCAAAAATTGATTTATAGTAGATATATTATCAGTTTTCTAGTAACTTCCTAATCTGTCTCTAGTTCTGTTGTCTCTTATGTAATCCATCTTTGTGCATTCAATTATTTATTTTGCATTTGGGTATTGCATGGTTACAAAAAATACAAAAATTTACACCAGAAAATAAAACAAACAAAAAACTCAGCCTCCCTTCTCTGACTTCCATGTATATGAGAATTGCATCATCATGTGATATAGTCAATTTCATGGACCCCAAGCCCAGAATTCTCTTTGACTTTGCACTTTCAAAACAGCTCTCTCCACTGTCATTTCTAATTTTCTTTGATTTTATCCATTTTTCCCCCTAGGATAAAACAAGTTCATCTATAATGGTCCTAAATATAAGAAAGTTTTAAGGGACAAGTAGGATAGTATATAGGTATTGAAATATTAGACAAATTAGATGTTCGGTCAAGCATCTTTGGTTAGTTGAAACTCCTTAATGAAATGTGTGAGTCTGATAAAATGTTCAGGAATTTTTAAAGGAATACATAGTTGGCAATCCTTGATTTAAATTAGTATTTTAACATAGTCTATATGAAATTAGTGAGTAGATAGAGATAAAAGGGAAGGGAAGGGGGAGAGGGAAAAAGGAAGAAAAGAAGGAAGGAAAGAAAGAAGGAAGGGAGGAAGGAGGGAAAGGGGGAAGGAGGAAGGAAGAGAGGAAGGGAGGGGAAGTTGGGGCAGACACTCCCCCCAATCACTGTCTGCTATAGTGATTTGTTTTAGTATAGATTCTTTTTGTGTGTGTGTGTGAGGGAGATCAGCCCTGAGCTAACATCCACGCCAATCCTCCTCTTTTTGCTGAGGAAGACCAGCCCTGAACTAACATCTATTGCCAATCCTCCTCCTTTTTTTCCCTTTTTCTCCCCAAAGCCCCAGTAGATAGTTGTATGTCATAGTTGCACATCCTTCTAGTTGCTGTATGTGGGACGCCGCCTCAGCGTGGCCAGACAAGCAGTGCGTCAGTGCACGCCCGGGATCCGAACCCAGAGCACGCACTTAACCGCTAAGCCACGGGTCGGCCCCTGCTATAGATTCTTATGATTGATTATTTTCCTGAGACTCATTCAAGATAGTTCAAGGTAAGGATAAAATAAGGAATCACACTAAAAAATAATAATAAGGAAGTCAGGAATCATTGAAGTGGGCCTCACTCTGCCCAGTGATGGAAATCAGACATTCGTCAAAGCTACTCTCTCAGTGGCAGTTTCCATGTCACTGTTTCATGGCTCCACTTTTCTTTCTTTATAGCCTCTCAATTATTTTGCTCATCTATTTTTCTCATGGCTCATGTAGTCTAACCTGACTCTGAATTACTAATCTGCTTCCTCTATCTCCTACTAATAACTGATTTAATCTCCTTTTATGGTTTGTTTTACTGCTGTTGTTATAAGTACCCGGGAGAAAAAGCTTGCCACTGGTCAAGTCACTGGCCATTGTGGATTTCCAAATAGTTCCAAATAGCCATTGACACATATCTAGAC